CACACACACACACACACACACACACACACACACACACACACACACACTAGAGAAGCCTCAATCTCCAACCACGGGCAACACTGCCCCTGGGAACAACAGCAAAGGGCGGGGTGGGAGCACTGGCCCAGGGTGCCACATGGCCCAGCTCCGGGACACATTCCCACCACATCCCACAGGGTGCAGGGGGCGCTGTGGAGGTGTGTCACTGCAGCAGGGCTCTGGTTCTTCCTGTTACAGCTGCACACACATCACGTTGTGTGTACGTGAATTGTGCACAGACTCAAGTCCCAGGGAAGAGCCCACAAACAAAGGGCAAACAACTGCAATCCAACAAAGATGTTAACAGGAACCTCCTAAAATTCATTAACACAAAGAAGGTGGGAAAACCTCTCTGCCTCTTGCCTCTTCTGTTTTGGCTTCACTTACATACAAAGAGTAACCTCCACAAACATCAGAATTGTGCAGAACTGAAACAAAGCAAAAACTTTGTGTTTGTTTTTTGCTTTTTTAAAAGGGTACAGAGGCAGTGAAATTTACATGTGAAAGCACCCGACTTCCTGAAACTAGAACGCAGCTCCCTCTAGTGGGAAAAAGGAATCTGCGCAGGTAGGAGAAAAATGAAATCCTGTCTGGTGATGCCCAACGGAAATACTGAGACACAATTTTTAAAAGTAAAAAAAGATGAAATTTTAGTATATCTTATTTATCTCAACATGGAATCAGTATTAAACAATTACGAATGAGTCATTCTACATCCCTTTTTTTTTTTTTTTAAGATTTTATTTGACAGAGAGAGAGAAAGCACAGCAGGGGGAGTGGCAGGCAGAGGGAGAGGGAGAAGCGGGCTCCGGGACTCCATCCCAGGACCCGGGGATCATGACCTGAGCTGAAGGCAGTCGCTTAACCAACTGAGCCACTCAGGTGCCCTACATCCCTTTTTCTTACTAATTCTTCAAAATCCAATACACATGTTATCCTTACAGCACATTTCAATTTGAAGTGGCCCCATTTTAAGTGCTGGTACAGCTAATGGCTACAGTACTGGACAGCACAGCTCTAAACCAAAAATCCTCTCTCAGGTTTGGAGAATTTCTACAATTCACCCTTGTCTGCTTCCTTGACACAAATACTATACAACATACATTTGCAACCTCTTTGGAATCCACCGTCTTCAAGCAGTCTTAAGTTAGCTGAAAATGCATGGCTACAGAATTTGGTTGATAGAGGAGAAAGGCCGGCTATAGAATTTGGTTGATAGAGGAGAAAGGCCATTGAGAAGCTGTAGTGGGAAATCTTTCCCTAAAGAGCTTCGGCCCTCAGAATTTCTCTGATGAGACCCTTCAGCTAGAGATCCTATATCCTCACTCAGGGCAAGAGTTTTCATCCTACCTCACATACACTCAAACAAAAGGACCCTGCAAACGGAGAGAAGCCTTCTCTGCCTGAGCAATTTTCTCCACACCACACAGGCCTGACTCTCAGGCAGAACCAGCTCTTTCTTCGAGGTGCCCTGGTTCTATTTCCCAAAATTCAGCGCTCCACAAAACTGCCTCAGAGCATAGAAATGAAGCAATTTCTGTTGATGAACCCTCATGACTAAATCAGCTGTTGACTCTCCCCACTCCAACCACCACCCAACAAGAGGATACATCAAAGACCCATTCTACCTACTGAGGGAGAGGATTTGCGTTTTAATCGATGCCAATGAGCTGCGGTGGTAAACCATTTACTTAAAAGTGCTAACTAACCTCCCCCTTTCACCCTCAACATTCTGATAGAACATCATTTCTGGGGTGGGGTGGGGGGTAATTAGAAGGCAATAATCAGGAAGAGGAGGAGACACACACACACCCTCGTCTGACACAAGCCACTGCCGAGGACCAGCACACCCAATCATGGCTTCACATGTCCTGCTGTTTCCATGCATTTGAAAAATTCCAATCAGCTCCTACTGATTCTTTCTTTCTCTAGGAAGCCGCTGGGTACAGCAGATTGTGGCAGTAAATGAGTAGAGAAAGGGAGCAGAAAAGATGGGCTTCTCCAGAGAAAAGAATTTGACGATAACCAACTCTCAAAAATTCATATAAAATGTCATATAGAGGGATGAGAAAGTGCTGTTTTCCCATGACAACTCTTGAGAACTGGGGTCCCCCTCCTTCCCTGTCCCAAACCCCATTCAGGGAATGAAAAGTTGATGTAGAAATAGCCCAAGCAAAAGCAAATCATATATGTAAATAGGATACAAAGCAACATACAATATAAATGGCCTCCAAATCTCCCAAATAAGGCTGCTCATCTGTTACCTGAAAGAATTCTGGGGTCTATCAAGGCAAGCCACCAGGCACACAATTTGCATGGGAATCCTTGGGGCTCCCGAGAGAGGTTCAAGTGCCCCAGACTGAGATGCAAACACTCCAGCAGAGAGGAAGCCGTAAGCTCTGGGCATGTTCCTTTGTGTCTGACAGATGGCAGGGAGCACTGGCTAGAGGAGTGAGGAGCTGTGGAGTCTAACACAAAAGGTTGCCTTCACATGCCCTCCAGCTCAGGCCCTGTCCCAAGTCACTGTGACAAGTTTACTACAGGTGTTAAGAAAGTCGACTCTGGCTGGGGGCGCCTGGGTGGCTCAGTCGTTAAGTGTCTGCCTTCAGCTCTGGTCATGATCCCGAGGTCCTGGAATTAAGCCCCACATCGGGCTCCCCGCTCAGCAGGAGGCCTGCTTCTCCCTCTACCCCACTCCCTCGTGCACTCTCTCTCTCTGGTTCTCTCTCTCAAATAAGTAAAATCTTAAAAAAAAAAAAAAAAATCGACTCTCTGGAAGCCAACACTCCCCTCCCTTGAGGGCCAGTGTCCACATAGGAGGAGAAGGCCCGTGCGAGCCTGAGAGGAAGGGGTAGGCCAGCAAGCTTGGATTCCCAGTAGGAAAGGAGGAGCTCTAACGTTTCCCACCACCCTGGCCACAGGTGACAGAGGAAACAGGGTGAACCGTAACATGAAGCCCGACACACACTATCGATGCTGGCCATCAAGACACACTGCCCAGTGCCTGGCTCCCACAGGGGCTACGCACTTGGGTCCTTTCACAAAAGACCTGTTAACTGAAGGACCCCTGGTGGCCCCTCCCATGGTTCCAAGGCCACCTGTTCAAAGACAGGACCAGGGGTAGCCCCCATTACCCACCCCCAAGGCCACCCACCCCGCACTGGGCCCCACAGAGTTGCAGCTGGCTGGCAACCAAATTCCTCTGGTCACAAAAGCAAGTGGGGAAAATTACCTCCTGATTACAAAGCCCGCCCCTCATGAGAGGTTAGTGTGTTAGGAACACAAAGTAGAATCTGTAAATGTGCTGCTATCTCCTTTCCTTATAAACTGAGACTAGTGATGTGATAAGAACAGGTGAGTTTAGGAATAAACAGAAGGTAGAAGGTGAAAATGTTCAACTATAATTGTATTCCACTTTCAGAACACCTACTACATAAACAAAGAAATTGGACATGGCAATTCAAATGAATCATTTGTTCATACTTGCTTAAATATATGCTTCCTGGTGCTACAGAGTTTATTTAGAGAAACATTAACCTTTGGGGCGCCTGGGTGGCTCAGTCGTTAAGCGTCTGCCTTCGGCTCAGGTCATGGTCCCAGGGTCCTGGGATGGAGCCCCGCATCGGGCTCCTGCTCCGCAGGAAGCCTGCTTCTCCCTCTCCCACTCCCCCTGCTTGTGTTCCCTCTCTCGCTGTGTCTCTCTCTGTCAGATAAATAAAATCTTTAAAAAAATAAAAAAAAAGAAACAGTAACCTTTGCTCACTCAAGTTTTTAAAAATGAAAATAAAGTGTGTGAAATGGAAATGCAAATTTATGGAAAATACCACTCTGTTTATAAAAATGTCCCTAATATGCAACTTCTCAGGAAGAGAGCCACACCATAAAACTTGAACCTGGGCTCTGGAAAGCCGAAAGGATCTAGGGTGGCCTACAGTTCAACAGAGAGTAATTGTCACAGAAAAAATAAAAATGGTAGAATTTATAAATAAACCCAAGAGATTGTTTTTTGAAAAAGAGAACAGATCCACTAAGTAGACAAAACCTTTGCTAAATTCCGTAAAACAGAAAAAATGAGACGTGTGTTTCAAAACATTATGCGATCTACAACTGGATGTTAATACATTTGAAAATTTCAATGAAAAGGAAAAATATAGGGGTGCCTGGCTGGCTCAGATGGTGGAGCATGCAATCTTG